ACAAGTTTGGCATATTGGGCTTTGGGGTGAAATTTCAGGATGAACCTAAAATGCACTGTAATTATTCGAGGTGAACTTAATTTGACCTTCTGTCAACTTTTGAATGTCAAACTTTTAGGTTGTTATGCAAATGAATAATGTAGTTTCAGTTCATTTTTTTTTCTTTTTAACACTTTCTTTTTTTATACTTTGTTTTTCAATGTTTCTTTCTTTAACTATAATCAGCTAGCCACTGAACTTAGAGAGTCACAGAGTGTCATGAGCAGGTTGCAACAGGGAGATTGGAGTTGTCACAGGAAGGAATAAAAGTAGACTTCCTTACAATGCAGTTTAGTCCAACTTTTTTTTTAATGAAAAAACATCTTAAGAAACGAAATTGTGTGTGTTTTAGGGGGCTAGAACGGATTAATTGGATTTACATTCAATTCAATGAGGAAAGATGATTTGACTTTTGATGGACTTGAGATACAAGTGTGGTGACGGGACGAATTAAAATTGTCTCTCATGGCGCCATCGCAGATTTGTTGGTGACGTTCTCCCCGCGTTAGCAAAGGTTTTCTCCCCGTTCTCCGGTTCCCTCCCACATCTTAAAAACATGTATGGGAGGCGAATTGTCCGTAAGTGTGATTGTGAGTGTTAATGGTTGTTCGCGCGAATTGTCCGTAAGTGTGATTGTGAGTGTTAATGTTTGTTCGCCTAAGTGTGCCCTGTGATTGACTGGCAACCAGTTCACGGTTTAAGGTCACTAAGTGTGCCCTGCGATTGACTGGCAACCAGTTCACGGTTTAAGGTCCCAGCATGCCCACAACCCTCGTGAGGATAAAGCGGTTCAGATGATGAATGGCTTAAAAAAAAAAAAAAAAAACGCTTTCTTAAAAATCTGCAATACAGCACGGACGCGAATAATGAACCACTTGGTCTTGATTTTAACTGACTGGGCATTTTTGTTTCAATTTGAAATGACATCAAGATGAACTTGAGCACGGTTTGGCCCTGTCATGATTAAGACGAGAGAACCTGGCATCCAGTACTGTACATCGAAAAGTAAATTATTAGTACACGTGTGTGCGCTGTAAGGCAAAGA